TATTTGCTCCTCTCATCAGGCTTCTAGACTGAGACTTTCTGGGGAGCAAGAGCCATGTTTCTGCATCATCCCTTAGTGGAGAATCCTCCACATAATAGGAGCTAATGAAAAGTTGTTGAGTTGTTCATAAAATAAAAGTAATATGTAACAATTTACCACCAGGCTACCTGTAAAGAATTATGAAGAAAATCCAATGTTTATTGCACAGGATGTCTATTAAATGGTATCCCTTGGGTAAATGTCCATTCGGAATCCCCACAACAGAAAAATCTACTTCTAACTAAAATTAAAAATAACACCAAACAAACAAAACAAAACAAAAAGTCGAGTTTCGTTTTGTTGTTGCTGTAAATAAATTGCCTGAAAACCTGAGTAAGACACCTAAGAGTTTCTCTCCTGCTGGAGCTGGACTAAGAACACCTGGAAACGCTGCCTCTCAAACCCCCTCAGCAGCACTCACAGCAGCCCGTTCCCTGCTCACCCCACACATTTCAGCTCGTGAAACCACTTAGAAAAATGCATCCTTACAGCCACAGAGATACGAGATGCTGGGCTCCAGCTACATTTGCACATTTGCATTCTGCTTATCAGGTCACCCAATGGCAAAATCTTCAGAGGGAGCCGGCAATTTCTCCCTCATACTGAAGCTAATGAGCAAAATAGCTCTTTGCTGAAGGACAAGAAAAAGTCGGCGTGCACACGTTGTACTGCGGGCACCACGGGCAGGCTGTCATCACTGTGAAAAACCATCACAAGACCTTACAGATTAAAAGCTGCGGAGAAAACTTTTGCCCTGTGGAGTTTGTAAGGAAGCATCTCGCTGTTCATCAGGACCAGGCAGCTGCAGTCAGAGCTCTCCCAGAATGCTAGCAGGGCCAGGCTGCCTCCTGCAGGCTCCCAGAGGGGACACAGCATCAGCTGCCAATTTCTAAGCAAAGGGAGATTGTTTTATACCCATTTGGGGCTCTCTCTTCGTTTCCAGGCTTGCCTCACACAGTTGACTTTTATTACCAGGTTAATCACCAGCAAGCTTAGCTGAGGAGTTATCAGCAATGCCCATCCTTCCACTTTTTCTCAGCTCCCCTCTCTGCCTCCTCTGTCTCCCTGCTGCTCTTCTCCCACCCCGTCTCCTCGGTTAGCAGCTTCCTGGGCTGCTGCTTTGCATCTTCCCAACCAGCTCACGCAGGGATAAAGGAAGCTCATTTCAGAGCCAGTCATCAACTCCCCCTTTGGATCAAACTGCAAGTGAAAATTGTACCCATCTGTCTAAACAACTCAAGGAAAATGGGACCTAAATTGTCCAATTTTGGTGTGTCCACCTAGCCTGCTAATTTAATTTTACTTTCCAAAAATCTGAGACCCCATACTGCCTCATCTTCTGCGTTGACGCAAGAAAATGAGCAAAGAAAAAAATGCACATCTCCAAAAACAAATCATTCTGCTGGCCCCGTGGGGCACTGGTGACACAAGAGGCTGCATCTCTGGGATCTGTATTCAGGTCTCTGGTGAGGGCCAGCGGGAAGTGCAGAGCCACAGAAAATTGAAAAATAATAGGGGAAAGGAGAAACAAACATTTCAGCTTTGTCTTCAATGTGCATTTGGAACTTGGCTCTGGAAAAAGATAAGGGTGGAGAGATGCATTTCCCAGCAGTCGCGGGTGCTTGGCTCTATTTGGGACTTTACCGACAGGGGCTGGATTGTTGGACTTTTGCATTCTACAACTCAGTTCTAGAAGGTGTGGCAAGTCCCTTCCCATGCCAGTTCCTGAAATGAAGTCCTCTTCCCCATACCCGAAGATGATTTGTGTTTCCGAACAAAATATAATGAGAGGCTTAGATGAGAAACCTAAAACAAAACAATAACCTCATCAAGTAAATGATAATTACAAGGAAGGTGTCAAGAATACAAATACTATATTCCTGTCTCAGATTCATTTCTAAAAAATAAGATCCAGGGCCAGGCGTGGTGGCTCACGCCTGTAATCCCAGCACTTTGAGAGGCCAAAGTGGGCGGATCACAAGGTCAAGAGATCGAGACCATCCTGGCCAACACGGTGAAACCCCGTCTCTACTAAAAATACAAAAATTAGGCGTGGGGGTGGGTGCCTGTAGTCCCAGCTACCCAGGAGACTGAGGCAGGAGAATCACTTGAACCAATGAGGCTGAGGTTGCAGTGAGCCGAGATCGTGCCACTGCACTCCAGCATGGGTGACAGAGTGAGACTCTGTCTAAAAAGAAAATAAAAAAATAAAGTTCCAGGAGGTGTGAAAGCCCCTAATTAGAAAGGGGAGGGAAGTCCTGAAGAACCCCTCGCGGGTAGGGCTGACTGCTTTCCTCCTGTCTGGAGGGGGCCATTCGTACCACCAGTGAGAGCAGGAATGTGGTCTACAGCCTATATCCCGTTGTTGATTTGAACCAGACAAAACGGTGACACCGATGAATTGCACTCAGGTGGCATGTCCCCTTCATCTCAGGCTTGTTAATAAGAAGAGTGAGATCACTCCCCAGTTCCTGAAATGATTTGGGAAATCTTTCCTGCCTTTTCTTCTCTCTTCTGCAAAGCACTCCCAAGCTAATGGAAAGTGAAATAAGGTGGTTTGCTGATCCTGAGTGAGACTGATAACACATGGGGTTTTTAGAAATCTTCACATCCTAGGCATCTGAAAACACGTCAGCCCATTGTCTGCATCCCAACAAGCATTTCTGAATGGGATGCTTCATTCCCATGAGAGCTCTGCCCTGGGTTCTGGCTCCTGTGGAAAGGGAGAGGTCAGAGGTCCCTGGGGCACGATATTGTCTCAGTCAGGACAGGTTCAGTTACGCTCCCATAACAAGTGGCCCTAAATGTTAGAGGTAGTGGCAAGAAGCTGTGTGCTTCTCACTCACAAGGACACATCCCTCTGTCCCACAGGGTATTTGTTCTGCACCAAGACGGACAGAGGGGCCACTAAATGGCAGACTGTCAATCTCACATTAGAGGGAAGGCAGGGGTGCAGTGAATAATAAAATTTCTGCTTGGAATTCACACAGTCACTACTGCCCCAATTTCATTGACTAAAGCAAGTCATGCGGCCAATCTTGCATTCAAGAGCGAAGTCATAAATCTATATTCCATAGAGAAAGAAAGTGAAGACTGACAAACATTGTCGTAGTCTCCTATAATGGAAGGCAGGGCTCTGTCACCCTTGGAATATGGAATGGCTCCACCATTGTGGAATGTTTCCCAAAGTCCAGCTGCAAAATAAGCACAAGAATGTGTGCCCACCCTGACCCATTCCAGCATCACAGCCCACAGAGCCCCAGGGCACGCGGTTCTCATCCATAGGGCTTCAGCTCTCTGAGGAACATTTGTTACCTGGCTTCCTTTTTTGTTTCCTGTGGTTTCAGCCTCGTCTTAGGAATAGAGAATCAAAGAGAGGACTCAAACAATACAGAGAGAACCAGCAATCAAAAACGTTTGTGGGCTGAGTGCAGGCTCCTGGAATGCAGACACTGGCTTAATCACATAATGTCTTTTCAACAAACCTGATAGAAAGGATTATGTGCTCTATTACCTTTTTCTTTACTTCAGGAATTCAAAAGTATCCTCATCAAAGAACTCTTAGGGAACTTTAATATGCAATGTGTAGCCACAAATAATGTCTTGCCCCTAAGTCTCTCAATTTATGAAAAACAGGGCTGAGTCTACCCAGCAATTCCAAGAGGGCCGAAGTAAATCCGTCCATGATGAACAACCATTCCCACAGCCTTGGTGCCCTTGGGGAGGATCAGAAAAAATAGAATATAATAATTATTGAGCACTTACTATGTGCAGACATTAATATGACACTCCCAATTCCTGCCCCAGGAATAGCCCCAGGAGTTTACTCCTGAGTCAACTCAGCAGTAGACAGTAAGTCAAGTCAGCAGTTTACTGAAGTGCCTATTGGACAGATTGTTCCGGAAACTGACCTGCTTGCTACATTTGTCCCAAGCCTTCCTTGGAGCTAAGCATGACTTGTCTCATCAGTGTTTCTCTTTTCCTAATTCTTGTTTTGAGCCCAGGCTTCCTGCTGCATTGGCCTACCAACTTGATGGGCAGTTTCTGCCCTTGCATCTTGCCTCCCAGCCTTCTTCCCTGATTCCCAACCTTCCAGTTTTCTGTTCTGCAACCCTGCTCTGGTACAGCATCTCTGTGGACTGAGAGCCTGGTGAGGGGACCCCTCCAGATTTGGCTTGAGATTCTTTCAGCCGGTGGAGCCTTGACTGGACTTGCTCCTGCCCTGGCAGGACACTCAGAGACCATTAGAGCTAGACATTGCATTCATCCTGGAGAGGCTTGGAGAGATTTGCTGAGGGATGGGAAGGAGACAAAGCTAGGGAAGCATATGGAGGGCTGGAGTGCCATGTGGCTGCTGACTGAGCAAGCAGGCTGCTGTGTTCTGCATGGTGTGAGGCCTGCCCTGGAAGCAGCCCCGGCAGCAGCCCCGGCCCAGGTACATGGAGCTGGATGCAAATCAGGCAGCAGGCCTGGTGAGGGGCAGGCATTGGGCCGAATGGGAATTTCACAGCTGCTGCCTTACCTTTCTCTTTTTCCTCTTCTCTTCTTCTTTTTACCTTTCTCTCTTTTACCTTACCTTTTTCTCCAAACATCTCTTATTCAACTAAAGGGAACGCACAGGAGGATGTTCAGACAAGCCAGGGCACACCTTTGACTGTGTTTTCTCGTGGTTTCTGTGGCTTTGGGACTGAGGGTAAGTTGGAGGCAGCCATCCTGGCTGATTGCAGTGACAAGATAAAAACACAAAGAAAAAATAATAATAACATGTTGTAAAACAAAAGTTCAATAATTCAACAGAGGAGATATCAAATGGCATGAGTGTTACTGGAATTTGGAGAGAGCGAGCTTTTCAAAGTGAAGAGATGACAGAAAAGGTTCATAATGGAGGTAGAAGTAAGTCCTAGAAGATAAGATTCCTGGTAGGTAGAGAAGGGTGAGGAAGGTGTTCTAAGAACTGGCATGGACAAAAGCGTGGGATTTAAAGCTGTGAGTGGCAACTGGCAGAAAGATAGTCTGTTTGCAGGGATAAGTGAGGCTGATAGGACAGCTTAGGGAACAGTTATAGAGGATCCCGAAGAGTTTTGTCAGCTGGCCGATGTTGAGGTTCACCACATAATGGAAACACTGCTTAGCATTTCCCATAACTCACATCAAATGGAGAAGTTTGAAATATTTACTGTACTGTAATTCAATTATTAACTGAGGAAATGTATATGTGTATGTATATACGTATATATAATCTTGAGTGGGATGTACTTATTTGTATCTCCCACCCTCAAAAAACACAATTCTATGCATATCTTGGGATTTCAATGCATATATAACCAAGTATATGAATAATATTTTGATACAGAAGAAAACAATGCTGAAAAACAGTGCAACCAAAACCATTTTCGAAACCCAGCACAGTGCCTGCCTCCCGGTACCCGCCAGTGACGCTTTCCTCACTCGATCGGGGATAACCACAACAAGTAACAGGTAAGAGAGGCAGTCTCTCTCTCTCTCTCTCTCTCTCTCTCTCTCTCTCTGCATAAAATGGTGCTACATAGATCTTTTGTATTGACCACTTCCTCAACCACTGAAAGGAGGGACAGGGATTTTCTTTTTCTTCCAATTTGAACACTACTCAGTTCACTATCAACCGTGCCTAGATCTTGGCAGGGCAGGGGTACGGGAAAGTGCATGCAAATTGTCTACACTGCAGAAAAGATGAGAAAGAGAGGGAGAGAAAGAACTCTCATTAAAGGACCATAAATGGGTGATATCCCCTGAGACATGCAGGACAAGGCCCAGAAGCAACAAAAAGGCACCCTCAGGGCTGGTGAGCAGGCGGCGGAATTTGCCCTCCATGTACTCCAGAATTTTGCTGTGTGGTTTCATTAACATGAAGATAAAATGGAACACTGCTGAGTTACAGCAACTCTAGCTCATGTTTGCTTAAAAAGAAAATAAAGTTCTGTATCTTAATCCATCCTGCTTTGGCTGGAGGGCCAGCAAGATTCCATCATCAGTCAGTGCAGGGGGAGAGGGTGTGGATCTGGGACTGCTGCTGCCGGCTTGTTTAGAAACATACCCACTACCAGCCACATCAACCAGATTTGACGGTAAACAGGGGTGCCATTCACCATGACAGTGTCCTCGTGCAAGAAACTTTGCAGTTACAGCCACAAGGGAAGAAAGGAAAAGGATCCCTGGTTGGGTCAGCCAGAGAGATAGCAGAGGCTAGCATGTGTCTCCGCTTCTGCTACAGACCTCAGCTGCTCCATGCATATACCGTTGTTTCCTTACTGGAAATCCCGAAGTAATCTATTTCACCAGTGTGTCTACTGAAAACCAAGAATTTTTTCATAGTAGTGAAACAAGTGTTTCAGACTCAGAAAAAGAAAGCCAGAGTTTGAATCTTGACACTACTAGTAACTAGCGTTGTGGTTTTGACCTTGCCACCTTGGGCCTCTGTTTACAGTGTATGAAATGATGAGAAAGGCTCTCCTAAGGCATGACATCATTACAAACATGCAATGATAACATGAACAATGTATCTGAACACTTTTTAGAAATCACTTTCCTAGGCCGGGTGCAGTGGCTCATGCCTGTAATCCCAGCACTTTGGGAGGCCGAGGCGGGTGGATCACGAGGTCAGGAGATCGAGACCATCCTAACAGTGAAACCCCATCTCTATGAAAAAATACAAAAATTAGCCAGGCGTGGTGGCGGGCACCTGTAGTCCCAGTTACTCGGGAGGCTGAGGCAGGAGAATGGCGTGAACCCGGGAGGCGGAGCTTGCAGTGAACTGAGATTGTGCCTCTGCACTCCAGCCTGGGCGACAGAGCGAGACTCCGTCTAAAAAAAAAAAAAAAAGAAAAAAAGAAAGAAATCACTTTCCTAATGTGAGATGACATTGGTGTAGTTAAACTATATTTATTTGTATGCCAGTTCTTCATATGTTTCTTGTGTTTCCGTTTCTCTTACGAGCTTTGCCACTCTCATTATTTCAGATGGTAGGCAAGCTGGACAGAGGCCAAGCATTCTCTAATTTGGGGGCATCATGTTACAACATAGTACATGTTCCTGCATGACTGGTGTATAAAACATTCCGAGACCCTGGAATTACCACCCGGGGAAGTGTTTGCTGTGACGACCTTAGGACAAAAATTGCATAGGTAGAAAATGTAATAAACTTGAAAGTTATCCATCCTGGAGTACATACCAGGAAAATATGATGCAGTGCTCAGGAGTGAAAATTATTCTCTCACCCGTCCCATGAAGAAAGCAAAGGCTCATTCTTACCAGACGGGAAGGGGCATGCTCATGGATGTTTAAAAGGCAGGGGTCATTCAGGAATAATAGTTTGTTTGAAAGTTACAGACCACTGCAGTACCTCTTGAATGAATTTCTTCCTGCCAATTTCAGTATATATTGTATACCACAGCCTCTTCTCTCTTTCTGGCTGTCTGGACAGCACCCTCTAGTGGTTCCTTTTTCTCCAAACATTTCAGTGTGAGTGTTGCGGGAAGGACTAATTCCGGAGTGCTCTCCCACCCACTTTTTAACTTGAGCAGTACAAAGGTACAAAGAGGTGTTCCTGTCTCCTTTAATCCCGCTATAATTATATTGGACAGAGAAATAGCAGCTGCAGTTCAAATGAGTAGGCACCATGACTCCCTCCCAAATTTCATTTTGCTTTTGTTATCACAGCAACCCCAACCAGACTTTCATTAGAAATCTCTCATATGGCTTTTGACTTAGTGTTTCTGTGTTATATGGATAAAGTCTCAATAAGATTGTTCCTCCCCCTCTAGCAATAAGGGGTTGACGTCCGCCCCCAACATTTCTACTTAAAATAGAGCAGCCATTCTGCCCATTTCACAAAGGGCAGGGCTTTGAAGCCGCCCACGGCATGAGCTAACTTTCTCCTGTATTAAGTGACCTTATACCAAGTCACTTCTAAACAGAAGTTGTTCAGATCAGAGCAGCCACAGTGCAGCGCCCTCAGGTTACCCTTGCCTGCAGCTTCTGTGCCTCAGACGGTAAGTGGCAGAAAGACAAGTGGCTTTGGGCAAGTAATGGACCCTCTGAGCCTTGTTTCCCAAGTCACCCACCCTTTCCCTATTTGTAGAATGGAAACTATGATGCCCCTCTTGCAGGGTTAGTATCAGTACTAACTTAGCACCTGGAACTGTGGCCGTTAACAAATGTTTCTCAAATGAATGAATAAATGTTCTTGGTAATGTTTTGGGCACCTTATCAGTGCTTTGAAGAGCCAGCTGGTACTCTTACCCTGGGAAAATGTCCAAGGCCACGAGATGGGAAAGAGCTTCGAGTCAGAATGATAGATTCAGGTGCCATCACTCGAGACCACAGGTAAGAGGATTCGTTTCTCTAAGCCTCATTTGAACAACGAGGACAATTCCTTCCTTGCAATGATGTAGGGATGACAGACATTAAGGCACAGAGCCCAGGAGCTGGTATGCAGTCAGTGCTCTATAAATGTTATCTCCTGTCAATTATTCCTCAATAATTCCAGGTATAAATTAAAGGTGCTCTCCTAGACCCAAAGTCAGTAGAAGCAAGAGAATTCTTCTTCTGCCTTCCCTGTACTGAGGGGATTGTAGATTTCACCAGGATTAGAATCCCTTGCCTTACATAAAACATTTACATAGAATTCCAAACCAAACTGCATCCTCTGGAACTCCGAGTCCATTTGCTACTGATGAAACTGTCGCTGAGGGGAGAAAAGAGTCTTTCAAATGCTTATTAGAATAGCTGGAAAAGCTCCTTGGATGCCTAATGTTCTTAAACAGCATTTTAATGATTTAAGGGTAAATGAACTAGAAACCCATGGATTTAATTTCCCTTGAAATACATATACATTTAAAAATTAAGGGGGAACGTACTCAGAGCAAAACATAGCCAGAGCATTTACAGTGAGCTGAGCCACAGTCCAGCAGGCTGCTGTGCAGCCACATGGCCTCAGCTCTCTGCTGGGCTTTGCAGAGGCTTGGTGTAGGCAAGTGGTCTGTCTCTCCAGGCGTACTGGGACGAGGGTTTTCCTGCACCAAAGCCGAGGTGCTGAGGTGCTGAGGTGCTGAGGCTGTGCAGAAAGGCCTTCTGCAGGGTCACGCTTGCTCAGACTCAGGGACCCAGGTATACAAGAAGGCTCTGCACCTTGGTTGCAGCGGGAGCCTCCTGGAGACCCTCCCTGGACAGGAACCCTTGTTTCACCCGAGGGTTCCTGCTCCCTGGGCCTGGACAACCCAGCCCCTGGGTTTGCAGAAGAACTCATTCCCTCTTCGTCTGTAAACCTAGGGCCTTAATACTTCCCAAGTTTTCAAATATTTTCTACTTTCTCCTAGTTAAAGGTCAATTGGAATACATTTCCTCCGAGTTCTCATCCAATTAACGTAATGGTCTTTTCCCCAAGGGTGGAGGCTGAGCCCTCAGTTTTTTGTTTCCTGTGTTTTACGTTTGTTTTGATCACACAGCACCAAGAAAAGGAGACCGAAGCCGCTCATTGGCAGGCCGTCTCTCCTACCCAGACTCTTGATTACTGGTCTATTCTTGAAGCTCACTTCACGTGTTTTCTCCAGGATGCTTTTTGACAACTCCAGACCACCCTGGTCCCTGGACCCTGAAATCCCACACAAGAAGAATCTGACCTAGGACACCATAACTGCAGAATACCTCGATAAAAGCAATTGAAGACTCAGTGGGATCCAGCCGTAAGGCCGGTGGATGCCTCGGTGTTGAAGACAATGCCTCTTCATCTTGAAAGATTTGGTGAATGCCTATTCTGTGTCAACAAACTCCATATTCACTCACCTACTCACTCACCGGATTCATTAATTGTCAGATGCTGTGTTAGTCACTTTAATATGAAAGTCACTCTGTTCTTTTAACCAGCAGTAACTGAGAACTTCCTCTATTCAAGATAGTACTTGCTTTAGAAAAAAAAATATAAAAACATTAAGGAGTGACCAATGCTTACAAGATCCTCACAGTTCAGTAGAAGAGATAGGGCTCTAAATAAATTCTTAATAGTAACTAGCATTTCTGTAGTAATTCCTAGGTGCTAGGAGCCATTATATGTCCCTTACATGCACTAGTTCATTTACTCCCTGCAATAGCCAGGTAGTAGTAAGTACTATTAATATTCCCATATTCTAAATGACAGAGCTGAGATATAAAGATGAAATGATCCGCTCAAGGCCATACAGCTCCTGATGGCAGAGCTGGGAGTCAGGCCCAGGATGTGCAACTCCAGTGTTTGTACCTTCATATTTTTCTGTGTGTGGTGTAGTTAATGTTTTAATATTGGCGGGATTACAGAGGAAGGAGCGATCTCTTCTGCTGGGAGTAGAGATGGGGATGACAGAAGATTTGCCAAGAATTGTGTTTGAGTTGCCTGCATAGGTGTGCAATGCTTGTCAGCTTGATGTGCAGACTGGCTCTGAGCTGGACCCTGCTCCTCCTCAGACCTCCTTCTCCCTTGACAGGGGAGAATGACCTGACAAACTCAAGAAGCAAGCCAATTTGGTTACTAAGCCCAGGATAATTCAGATGTGAAACAGATTAAACTCATTTGCAATTACCAGACCTGTCCTCTTTGGGGGGAGCATTAGAACCTCTTAGCAATTCAGTTCAGTGAGTATTGGCATTGTGTTGGATCACTGCCCTTGCATGGCTTGCATGCTATCTAGAAGAAAAGTGTGTGATTAATGGCAAATAGGCTTGCATTTTTTTCTCTCTCAGTGTTTTGTTGTCCCTGTCCTCCCATTATCAGTCTAGGGTTCTCATCAGAACAGTGAAATATCAGTGCCTAGAAGTAGGAAGTAAATAGAGGCTGAACAGCCACAAAATGATTTACAAGAGAAGGTGCTGAGAAAGCATAGAGGTACACAGTGTCTTCTGTAAAAATGATAGGATTCAGAGTTGGTGGCCGGGGCTGGAAGGCTGCTCGGGCACTAACTAGATGTATTTCTCCAGCATGCTTCCTCATCCCATTGGGTCTTTGTTTCCCTCATTATAATTATTATTATTTTATTATTATCAATATTGTTATTATTGGAATAATAATACCTGGGTTGCAGAATTGCTGAGAAACACAAAATAAATACTGTATGTGAAACCACTAGACCCAAGTTAGGTATTAGTGGTCAACACAATCCTATTTTCTTGCCTAACTCAGTTGAATTCCAAGCAGATCTAGAATCTGGTTGTCTGCTAATTTGCCCAAAGCTCTGACCACTATGGACCTTGTCAAAAGTTAGCAATGTCTCTGGGAGTTTCTTGTGACAGTTTTCTTTCTCTATCTTTTTTCTTTCAGGTTATGGATAGCTCAAGTTTTTCCATTCCTAAAGAAATCTCAGCTCAATATCAGGGTTTCCCCAGATTTCACCTTGAATGCCCTGGCTATCTCCTTCTGCATGATCTCCATGGTGATTCGTCCACTGTGGGGTGATCAGAGATCGCAAGGGCATACTGGAGTTCCTAAAGCTGTGTTGCAGCACAGACAGACTTTTCTGCAGCAGTTCACTCCAACACAACTTGTCTGACATTTTTTCTCCTCTTAGTGGATTTCTTTCCAGTTCTCTCTATCTCAGTCTACACCACCCACCCAGTCACCCAACCAGAAACTTGCATTTTCTTGATGTATCCTTTTCCTTCACATTCCTATTTATCTTTCAATTCATTCATTCATTCCATTTACTCTTGTTCCTTCTCTCTAGGAAATTGCAGAAGACAGTTTCTCCCTTAGGGTGTTAGGTTCATTTATCTTTCTGCATTTTTATAATAAGAGAAGATAAGGAAACTAAAATGTGTGTCAATGAATTCCCATGGGAAACAGTGAGAAGTGATTCAGTGATTCAATGATATCACATCTCCGAAGGAGAATTGGAAGGCTTCACTTGACTGTGGGTGACCATTAAGTCTTCTATGTCATGTTTAGCATCCTTGAACCTGACCAGTGAAATGCCTCCCTGAATTGCACAATAGCAGCCATGACGCCAGGGAGATACTCCAGGGACATGCTTTCCTCCTGGAATGAGACTGCTTTGCTGCTAGCAGAAAGGTCTCTAGAAGGTCAGAGGCAAGGAAACTGGGGTAGGGGGGAGACAGCTGGTGGGTAAAAAGGGGAGTGGGGAAGGTGATTATGCCAATATGGTCCTGTTTTCTTCTGACTAGATGGTCAGAAAGAGCCAGTCATGAAGGTTTCGTTGTGGCCCAATGTTCAATGGTGTTTTGGGGTTAATAAGAAATGACCAAAATTGGTGTCATGTAAAAAAAAAAAAATTATGGAGTTGAGCTGACAGAAGACTTTAAGTAATAAACTAAGGAAATGTAAAATATAGTACAGTTTATAAAATTTATGGTGAGTTGATTGGTAGTCAGCCTTGATCAATTCTATCTTGCCTAAGAACCACATCTTTCCAAAGACATTCAGTAACCAATGGATCTTCCAAATGCAAAGATTAGTGTGCAAACAAAAGCTAGACCACTCACACCCAGCATGCCCTAATCACGGACACTTATGTTCGATATTTTTCTAGGAATTGTTGTAAATTCTTTATACATGTTACATTATTGCCAGAACCGCATGAGAAAGTAACTATTATTATTTGGCCAGGCACGGTGTCTTACTCACTCCTGTAATCCCAGTACTTTGGGAGGCCAAGGTAGTTGGGTCACCTGAGGTCAGGAGTTCGGGACCAGCCTGACCAATACGGTGAAATGCTGTCTTTACTAAAAATACAAAAAACTAGCTGGGTGTGGTGGTACACACCTGTAATCCGAGCTATTTGGGAGGTTGAGGCAGGAGAATTACTTGAACCTGGGAGGCGGAGGTTGCGTGAGCCAAGATCGCGCCATTGCACACCAGCCTGGGCAACAGAGCGAAACTCCATCTCAAAAAATAAATAAATAAATAAATAAAAATTCAAAAAGTAACTATTGTTATTCCATCTTCACTGATAAAGAAACTGGGGCACAGATCAAGCAACTTAACCAATGTCATACAGCTGGAAAGCGATAGTGTCCGTATTTGAACTTAGCCAGGCCGGGTCCAAAAGCTAATTTCTTAACCATTTTGTCACATTAGCTCACAAAAACCACATGAGAAGGAAATGATGCTTTACCGAGTTAAAAAATTAAACAAAAATAAACAGCATGCACAGATGAGAGAAACAAAACTAAATGATTACTAGGCACTAATCTCTGCCAATTTTCAGTCAAACATCTAACTTTGGAGAGCCAATTATTTCTTTCTCTGGATACAAGTTTTGCTGCTGTAATACCACTGTTCTTTATTGTTGTAATCATATATTAGCAAGGTTATTAAATACACATAGGTATTGGGTTTGCAAAAGTCTGGGATATAGAAGTGAAAACAAAACAAAAAATTCTTTCCGGATCATTTCAATGTTCAGTTGGATCACAAATACATAAGTGACATATTTTAATAGGGGTTGACAGGTGGATCAGTGGAGCAACAAATTCTCCCGAAGGGAGTCTGAGAAGGTTTCCTGGAGACAGGCAGTTAAGATTCATTTGAAAGGGATGAATTGAGATGCATCTTCCTGGGGGCCAGTTAGAATGGTGATATATATGTAATTTGGGGAAAAAATCATATTATAATTTTATATTTGGAAAGCCAAGTAAGCATTTTAATAATAATATAAGCACCAAAAATTAAAACGAAATAAAATCATTTTTGTTTGTGGGCTATGAAGAAGATCAAAGAACATTGTATGAGTGTTTCGGTTTTTAAAATAGGAAAAAAGTTACAAAAGGTTGAGAAGCACGTTTTTGAAAATTAAGCAAACTTGTGATTCAAGCTATACAATGAATATACACCATGAACGCTCCCCTCTACTCTTACAACCAAGCAATAATACATAGTATCTACCTAACTATCTGTCTGTCTACCCATCCATCTATGATTTGCTTTTCAGAATAAAAGGATATAGCCAGGCAGCCAGGCACCATGGCTCACGCCTTTAATCCCAGCACTTTGGGAGGCTGTGGTGAGCAGGTCGTGAGGTCAGGAGATCGAGACCATCCTGGCTAACACAGTGAAACCCCGTCTCTACAAAAAATACAAAAAATAAGCCAGGCATGGTGGCGGGTGCCTGTAGTCCCAGCTACTCAGGAGGCTGAGGCAGGAGAATGGTGTGAGCCCAGGAGTGAGCCGAGATTGCGCCATTGCACTCCAGCCTGGCTGACAGAGTGAGACTCTGTGTCAAAACAAAAACAAAAACAAAACAAAATAAAACAAAACAAACCCACAAAAAAACAAGGATATAGCCCGATAGCCAGGCTTGAAATCAAACTGGATAGGTCATGGATCAGAAAAAAAAAAGAAACACACTGGTGAGTGGGGGTTAGCTTCTCCAGATTCAGCAAATAAAAATACAAGGCAATCAGCTAAACTTGAGTTTTAGTTTAAATGCATGAGACATATGTAAAGAAAATGATGTGTGTTTACCTGAATTAAGTCTAAATGAGTGAGTGTTCTGCATTTTACCTCATTGCCCATAGAAGCCACAGGCCTACAAAGCCCCAGCACTGGAAACAGGAAAGGTCTACCCGGAGCCACAGCCCCCTCCACCTAGAAGGAGCGGGATCCTGGTAAAGCTGGGAGGCAGCTTGTCCCCGCAAGAGCACAATTAGCCGGCTCCTCATACGCGAAGAAGTGGTCAGTAAGGAGAAATTTGGACTCAGACTCCCTGGGGAGACTCAGAGTTCCTGAGCCTTAGGTAAGAGTTTCTCACATCTCTCCCCTATAAAACAGGATCCCAGATAGACTGTAGGAATGAGGCTCAGCCTGTTAGCCTTGGCTGTGGAGACCTCACCAGCAGGAGAGCTGAAAGTCATCCGCTGACAAAGGCCAAATTGAAGAAGAGATTTCAGGGAGTGAGGCTGGCCAGACACCTCTTCGTTTTACTTGAGAATTGGCCATCCAAACTCTCATTTTCTTCCTGTCTGCAGTTACCAATTCTGTGGCTGCAAAAGCACCTCGAGAAGGTGTTTCCAGTTTGCTCTGTGGGGTCATTATCTCTGTCTTCCATTATCTCACCAGATTTGCTTTCTCGACCCTCTTCCAGTCCACTTTTCCAAAAGGCTCTTATCTTGCCCTTCCTGATACCTGTTATTTGCCTCAATCCACTCCACAGTCTAAAAGTCCACTTGATGACCCCTGAAGGGCAACCGGGTGCCACATCAGTCTCCTCTCAGCTGGAATTCTCATATAACCCGTGGTGCCAGAACAGCCTGTCACTTTCAGTATTTTTAGTTTTTAAAACCTCATGTTTCATTTTTCCAGTGGATGCCAAGAGGATGAGGAAAATGCTGTAGCAGAGAGGGAAAATCAATATCCCACAGGAAGCCAGCGCTCGAACCGTTTGCTCTGTGTCTGATGCCGGGTTGTCTAGGGAGAATTTCACAGCCATGGTCTGAGACTGCTTGTCTTTTCCCAGAGTTTCAGTGAAGAATCCTTCTGAACATCTGCTCTCCCAGGAAAAGAGACCAAGACATTGAAAGTGCTCTTTAACACTGCAATTCTTGAAAGATGTCAAAGAAACAGCAGAGGGTAGGGGCTGGAAGAATCATTGCTCTTTTCCCAGGGTACAAGAACCTCCTTAGGGGAGAGAAGAGGGGAAGAAGGCATGCTGCTGAGAAGGCCAGGGGCTGGAACCTAGGTACTGCAAGTGTAGTTGGTTTATTTCATCATTATTGGAAAATTCATGGAATTGATTTAATGCTGGTCTGTTCCTTCCATAGCATGTGAATCATGGTGGCTGCTTATCTGAATGCATAGCAGAAGCTCCCTGTATGGAAATAGCATGTAAATGCAGATGCTTTGAACTCAACTGGAAGATTAACCCTCCTTTAATTTAAAGTGTCCTTTAAATTATTTTTGAAACTCCTTTCTATTGGAATTGACTTTGAAGATAGACTCATGCGCTCAGTAGTGTCGTACCAAGCACCTACTCCTCAATCTATGAAAGGCTCTGGGGACACGAGCGTGATGAACATGACAGTGACTGAATCATAGAGATCATAGATCAGTAGGAAAAATTCAGATGCATTTGCAGTACAATATGCTAAGTGCTGTGATGGCAACAGTGCAAGACAGCACCGAGAGCTTAGAAGAGACCTGC